AGTTCTAACCATAGTTCAGATACTTTTCCTGGACAAAGGCTTGCATTCAGTATCAGAAACAGAAAGTCCCAAGGACAGACCCTAATGTTCTTGTGGCAGAACTCTGCCTGGCTTTTTCTTACCTACACTCCCTGGGGAGATGTAGAACAATGAAACTATTTTGTCCTGCTCATATCCAGGAGAGGCTGCTTTTCGGTAGCAAATGTGTAGCAACATGGACAGCAGATGACCTTGAAGAAAGAGATGAAGAACAGAAGCTGGGTACAGAGAGTTGCTCAGTGACTGAGAGATCCTGGGCATTTCCTGAGTGCAGAGCGAAGATGTGATGCTGCCCTGCTGAGAGAGAATGTCACCAGAGGTGATCCTAAAGATTCATAAGTGAGTTGCCCCGAGTACGAGTATATTTTGGTTACGTGAACATATTTTGGTAACCTCAGCATACTCGTTCCTGGGGTATACTTCTTGGTACGCCTTCAACATCCACAGGTGTTCCCTGCACACATCTCCTCAACGAATGTGCTCTGGTCACGAAGAACACTCTACGTGAGTCTTTGCTTCCCTTTAAGTGGTATTATTATTACAGTATCTGTTACCCTTGTGCTTTGGGGATGGGGAAGGGACAACTTTCATTTTCATTTGATTTGTTATGTTGTTTGATTGATGAAATGTATTTTGTTTAAGCTAATATGTTCACTGATTGCCTGGTAAAAACAAAGTGATCAGTGACTGCGTCTGAGACATAGTTTGCATGGCTGATGACCCAGGATGCATTGACCCTGGGATTTTTTTCCCAGGTCCCAAGTATTAATGAGGTGCCTTTCAGGCTACATTCCTAGAGGGTTTGAATAATTTTTATTTGTATTTCCAAGGATCATGATTTGGTGCCTGGAATGCCTCTTGTCTCAGGTGTATAATATGGTTGTCCTTTGTGAATTTTATGGGTCACCAACTCTGGAGATACATGACCTTTTACAAAAGTTCTTTTTGTTTAGGTTTTTGCCTTTGGTTTTGCCAAATAGTCATGCTCCTTGAAGCCTCCTCTCACAGTGAATCTTCCAGTGCAAGAAAGGAAGGCAAACAACAGGGTAACTGCATCAAACAATTAGCATCTGTAACCTCTCCTTTTTACTCAGTGGATGGAAGAGTTTTTCATTAGGACATCAGTCACTGTTAGCATTGTTTTATTTTACTTTCTTAAAGTCATAATGCACATGATTCTTTTGGTTCTGATACTTTTCTTTCTATCAGGTGATTGACTTTTTTCCCATTTTTTCTCTTTATTTTTCACTGTGTCTTAAGGCACAATAATATTTATTAATTTGCTGGCACAGTTTTGTTCTGCCATTCACAAAGCAATGGAGCACTTCTTTCTTTCCAGTTGTTTATTATTAAAGTGCTGCTCTGATTATTTTTGTAAGCAAATGATCTTTCTGTGTGACTTTTACTTACTTGAGGTATGTATCCAGTGGGAGCATCCCTGACTCCAAAGGTATGGACCATTTTACTTACTTTTCTTACATAATTGTTTTCCAGAATATTTCAGCTAGTTCAGACCTTATATATTACTACCTAAGATCTCAGTGGGGTATTGCTATAGTTTTTTTTTTTTCCACAGCTCCCTCCCACACAAATAAGTTCCTCTTTTATTATGTTTGCCACTTGGACATTTCACCATATATGTCTTAGGTTGTTTTAATTTCCCTTCCTCATACTATTCATACTTTTAGCAATCTTTCCTATGGCTATTCCAGAAGAAAAGCATCAACATGCTATTTGACTTGCCCTGGTTTATATAACTATACAACGAAGGTAGCAAATTCAGGCCAGAAATTAGAATCTTCTGACTCTAAGGTTACTGTGCATCTCCCATCAAGACTTACACTCTACATGTAGGGAAACTGCAGGTTTTCACACTGATTTAAATGAAGCCAAAAAAGGAGGCAGAGTGAGGATGATTTAATTGTGATGCTGATGGATGAATATAATAAAAGCATCAACATACACTCGTGTTGCTTAGGGAAAAGATGTTGTCACCTTCCCTTACTTTAAGTCTTCCATTGATTACTTTCTAGTCAATTGTAGTGAGGATGTTGTTAGTGGAGTAGGATTGTATATCTGTAGTGCCCAGCGATTTGCCTATGGGCTTTGGAGGCATAGAACGCAATTAAAAAATTAAATAGGACTTACAAGGAGAGTCTAACCCCAGTTCAGATAATATCTTGGACAAGTACTTGCATTCAATCCTAGAAATAGGAAGTCTGAAAAATAGACTTTCAGTCTTTTTGTGGGTAACTCTGCCTGACTTTTACTTGCTTGTACTCCGCAGGGAGCTTTTGGAACAAAGCATCTGTTGTTTTACCTTATCCAGGAGTTTTCTGGCCACCATCTCTTAGTAGATGTGAGACAAGATGGGCAGCAGATGACCCTGAAGAGATGAAGTCCAAAAGCTGGTTGCAGAGAGAACTTGAATGACTTATCTGAGTGATTGATGAGTTTACATGTGATGCTGTGCTGAAGAGAGAGAAGAATCTTGATGACATGGACAATCCAGCAGCAGTGGAAATGAGTTGCCCCAGTTACGAGTATACCTTGGTTACACATCCTTGTACATGTAACCTCAGTATACTCGTTCCTGGTGTATACTTCTTTGTCCAAGTTCTCTGGCCACAGGTGTTTCCTGGAAATATTCCCAACAAATGTTCACTGATCACAGGTAGTTTCTAGCTGTTTCTGGGCTTCTTTATTACTGGTATTGTTATTGTACTTTGGACTTTGGGCTTTGGGAAAGACAATCTTTTAGTGTCACTTAATTTTACATACTATTTCACTGAAATTATTTTTGTTCAAAACAGTGTGTCTTCTTGGTAAATGTAAACTAATCAGTGGTAGCTCTTGAGGGATGGGTTGAATGGCTACTGACCTTGAATACTTTACAACCTGGGATAAGATCAGTGAGGTCCCTAGAGGCTATATACATAGAATTTGGAGCCTCATGATATGAAGTCTCAAATGCTTATTTCATATGGTTATTCTTTCACTGTATTGGTCACTGGTCCTGTTCCCTTCATCACTTTTCATGTGTAGATACAGAACCAATTTAAAGATTCTTTCTCTTCTTTTGGCCATTGATTTTTCCCACCAGTGACAGTTCCCTTGAAACCTGGTCCCCACTAGAAATCTTCCCATGTTAGAAAGAACATGCAAACAATAGAGGAACTGCATCTGTCGCAACATTAGATCTATCCCACTGCTTTTATAGTAGGAGGATGGAAGAGCGTTTCATCATCATTTTTCTAACATTAATATTTGGAGCTCATGTAGCTGTTTTCGTTTTTTGTTTTTGCACTACTGGAATCATGATTATCTTTGGTCTGATTTTTTGTATGTATAATGTGAAACATCTTCCCTCATTTCTCTGAAGTTATCCTTTTTTTAAGGCATGATATTCCATTAATTCCTATAGCATATTTTATTGAGACATTCCCCAAGCAACGGGTCTCCACTCTTTTTGGCAACCATTAAAATTACCATTTAAGTATTTTTATGTGCTACATCTTTCCCTCTGTCTTTGAGTTCCTTGGGGTATATGTCCAGTAAGAACATGCCTGAGTATAAAAAAAAAATGAACTCTTTTCATCATTTTTTCTTGCACAATTCTGAATTTTTTCAGAACAATTGAACTAGTTCATAACAATACTTTTGCTGAATTACTGTGCTTGTTTTCCCCCAGTCCCCTCCCACAATGAATTTTTCTATCTTATATTATCGTTGCTACTTAGGAATTTCTCTACATAGCCCTTGAAAGTTATTTTAATTTGTCTTTTTCATACTTTTAGTCTTTTTGCTTACCTTTCCTCTGTTGTGACAGAAACTTTATCAAGTGTCAAGATGTTATATGACTTGCCTTGGTTTCCAGAGCTATGAAGCATCAGATCCAGGACCCAAGCCAGCCTCTTCTGACTCTAAGGTCATTGTTCTTCCTTCAAGACTTAGACACCTATAAGGAGACGGTGATTGTTGCACACTGGTTAAAGGATGGCGTGGACTTGGGATTTTGTTGTTGTTATTGTTCTGTTGCTAATGAACAAATATAATAAAGGTGGCAATATGAGCAGGTATGATTAAGGCAAAAATATGGCACATCCACTTACTTTGACACATCTTTAAATTTATTTCTTCATCAGTGCAGTGAAGATGTTAGTAGTAAGGTAATAGGCATCCCCAGTGTCTGGAGATTTCCTATGGAGTGTTATGATGGATTTCAGAAGCATAGAATTGCTGTGAGCAATTAGATGGGACTTAACAGGAAAATCTGACCCCAGGTCAGATAGTTTTCTTGGACAAGGACTTGCATTCAGTACTAGAAAGAAGTCCAGAGACTAGACCTAATTTTTTTTTTTTTTTGTGGCAGAACTCTGCCTGGCTTTTGTTTATTTGTATTCCTCACAGAGTTTTGAAGAAAAAAACCAAACAAAACCAGGAGCTACAGTTCTACCCATATCCAAGAGAAGATGGTAACTCTACCATAGAAGATGTGAGGTAAGATGGACAGCAGATGACCCTGGAAGAGATGGAATCTAGAAGTTGGTTACAGAGATAAGCTCAATGACTATCAGCTCAGCAACATTTGTGAATAGAAAGGTGAGAACATGATGCTTCCCTGCAGAGAGATGCCAACAAGGGAGGACTTTGGCAGTCTGGCAGCCTCAGAACTGAGTTGCGCTGGGTACGAGTATCCTTCGGTCACGTGGCCGCCTACATGTGACCTTGGCATACCCGTCCCCAGTGTATACTTCTTAGCATAAGTTCAGCAGCCACAGATGGTTCACGTACGTACCCCCCATGAGTGTTCTTTGGTCGCATGTGCTCTCTAACTTTATCACTGTTCTCCTGTTGTTTTTATGAGAATAGATCTCTATTGCTTTTTTGGTAGCAGTTAGGAGGGAGGGGGAGAGAGAATCTTGTATTGTTCCTTTATTTGCTCTAAGGTTTGATTGAATATCTTTTATTTAAACTAATATGTCCTCTTATTACTTAGTAAAAGTAAATGCACCTGCACCATTGTTTTGGCTGGGCAGTAACCAAGTGTGCTTAGGATTTAGAGAGATTTGAAGGGCCCAAGGTATTAGTGAGATTTTCTGGGAACTATATGCATGGAAGAGTTTTAAAAAATTCTTATTTGTATTTCCAAGTATCATGATTTGGGACTTGAAATGCCTCTTATTTCAGGTATATTATATGGTTATTCTTTTTTTTTTCATTATTTGATTTTATTTATGTATTTATTTATTTAAATACAAAAAAAGAAAAGAAAACAAAAACACATTGCCATGTACACAACAGACCATAGCAGAGGATTCAATATAAAGCAATAAATTTTTGTTTCAAGAAAACATACATAATAAATACTAGACATTATTTCCAAAGCTGCCCAACTTTTCTTTGCATCCTCATTGGTTTTCTTTTGTTCTCTGCTGTGCACTTTTTACTTTATTTTTCCCCTTCTCCCTCCCAAAAAAAAGAAGACTATAATTAAGTGCACACACACACATACACAGGTATCCATAAACATATATATATATATATACATAGATATGTAAGATCATATAATGCTTCTTTCCACTTATCATCTGTTTCTCAATAGGTGGATAGCATTTTCCTTCATAAGTCCAAGTCTTTCCATATTTTTCTATATCCACTCTATAGATTGTTTATGAGAGTTTTTTTCCCCCAATTTTTCTACATGCCCTCTATTCTTGGCTACACAGAGTTTTATTTATACAGGAAATTTTTAATTTAAAATAATCAAAATTATCCATTTTATTATTCAACACTGCCCTCACCTTATAATATGGCTTAAGGTCTGTTATTATTGATTCATATAGGCCACTGTTTCAATTCACTTCTTTCCCATTTATGTGTGTGTATACACATAAATATAACACAAACACAGATAACTTGCATATATAATATAGAGAGAGAATGGGGGTAGTGAGAAAGAGAAGAAAGTTTTTTCAAATTTTATCTTGTTTTTTTTTTTTAATCATTGGGTTTTTTTTCACTAAGATATTTCCCTTGAAAGCATCTCTCTCCCCAAACCCTATCCCCACTGCTGAATCTTCCCATACAAAAAATAAAAGCTAGAGAATGAAGTATCTGAATCTGATCACGTAGGTGACATAGTAGATAGAACATTGGGCCTGGAGTCAGGAAGACTCATCTTCCTCAATTCAAATGAGTCCTTAGACACTTACTAATTATGTAACCCTGTTTGCCTCAGTTTCCTCATCTATAAAATGAAATGTAGAAGGAAATGGCAAACCACTCCAGGATCTTTGCCAAGAAAACCTCAAATGGCATCACAAAGGCTTGGACATGACTGAAAGACTGTACAATAACAACAACAAGCTATCTGATCAAAAAGCATCTGTTATCCTACCTTTTTATTCAGAGGATAAAAGAGGTTTTTCATTATTACTTCTCTGTGATCAAGACTGGGCTTCAGTCAGTTTTTAGAATTATTTTATTTTACATTGTGCAAGTCATTATGTATGTGAATTTCATGTTCTTTTCTTGGCATTAGGTGATTCATGTTATCCCCAGTTTCTCTGAATGTCTCATGTTTTCTTAAGGCACAGTGGTTTTTCATTAATTCATATAGCACAATTTGGTTAAACTGTACTCAAACTGGGGGCTCTAGCTTTCTAGTACTTTGCTATTGTTACAAGTGCTGCTTTAAATATTTTTGTATATACACGATCTTTCCTCTTTCTTTGATGTACTTGGAGTTTATGTCCTATAGAAGCATTTCTGAGCCAAAAGAAATGAATAATTTTAACCATTTTTGTGAAGTTATGAATTGTTTTCCAGAAAAATTGAACCATTTCAGAATTATGCCTTTGATGTATTACACCCCTTGTATTCCCATACTACTTTCCCACACTGGCTTTTTTTTCTTTTGCCACGTACACATTAAGGTAGTTTCAATTTGCCTTCATTATACTATTGGTTTTTATAGCCATCTTTCTTATGCTTATTTCATAAGAGATGTTATTTGACTTGACCTGGTTTACACAATTACAAAGTTTCAAGTTGAGGATCCAAACCAACGTCTTTTGAATCTAAGGTCACTTCTCTTTCCCGCATACCACAGATGCCTCTCCCAACAAGACTTATAGACATGGAGGGAAACCACAAGTTTTGGCACTGGCTTAAATACAGCAAAAAACAAAAGAGGTGAGTAGGGATTATTTTTTTCACTTGTGCTTCTGATGGATAAATATAATAAAGACATCAACATGGACCATTGTGATTTAGGGAAAAGACATTGTCGCCTTCTGTCACTTTTAATACAGAGGTTCTCAAACTTATTTAGCCTACTGACCCTTTTTCAAAACAAGTTATTCAGTGGGCCCCTGGAAATCTACTTTCTTTAACCCTGAAATGATTTTTGAAATTTGAAACATTTCAAAACAATATAAAATATTTTTAAATGATGCATCTTATATTTAACAATTCATTGTAAATTTGTTGGTTTTTTCCTGCATTGAAATTTTGATGACACAATATTGCATCATACAACCATAAAGTATTGTATTATAAACAAGTCATTACACACACATATTCCTGATGATGCATGCTGGACTTGCTTGTTAACACCTGTTGGCAGACTTGACTACTGATAGGTTATAACTTGCATTTTTTGTGTTTGTTTGGAAAATAATGTAATCACTACAACTTTAACTGTTACACAATGATGAAACATGTATAAATGTTTTTTCAAAAATTTCTTCTCTTCTTTCCTTATGCTTTTACCACATCTTTATTTTTATTCAGTGTCCCCCAATTGTACCCAAGTCTACTCCTGTCCCCCTGGACACTCTTAAGGGGGTGGTATCACCCACTTTGGGAACCTCTGTTTAATGAGTCTTCCTTAGATTAATTTACATTTCATTGTAGTGAAGATGTTAGTATTGAGTAGGATGCATGGGTTCCCCATGTCCAGAGACTGCCTTGGCCTTGCTGAAATGGGTTTTGAAGGCATAGAAGAGCTGTAAGAAGTTAAACTGGATACAAGGTAGTTCTAACCATAGTTCAGATACTTTTCTTGGACAAAGACTTGCATTCAGTATCAGAAACAGAAAGTCCCAAGGACAGACCCTAATGTTCTTGTGGCAGAACTCTGCCTGGCTTTTTCTTACCTACACTCCCTGGGGAGATGTAGAACAATGAAACTATTTTGTCCTGCTCATATCCAGGAGAGGCTGCTTTTCGGTAGCAAATGTGTAGCAACATGGACAGCAGATGACCTTGAAGAAAGAGATGAAGAACAGAAGCTGGGTACAGAGAGTTGCTCAGTGACTGAGAGATCCTGGGCATTTCCTGAGTGCAGAGCGAAGATGTGATGCTGCCCTGCTGAGAGAGAATGTCACCAGAGGTGATCCTAAAGATTCATAAGTGAGTTGCCCCGAGTATGAGTATATTTTGGTTACGTGAACATATTTTGGTAACCTCAGCATACTCGTTCCTGGGGTATACTTCTTGGTACGCCTTCAACATCCACAGGTGTTCCCTGCACACATCTCCTCAACGAATGTGCTCTGGTCACGAAGAACACTCTACGTGAGTCTTTGCTTCCCTTTAAGTGGTATTATTATTACAGTATCTGTTACCCTTGTGCTTTGGGGATGGGGAAGGGACAACTTTCATTTTCATTTGATTTGTTATGTTGTTTGATTGATGAAATGTATTTTGTTTAAGCTAATATGTTCACTGATTGCCTGGTAAAAACAAAGTGATCAGTGACTGCGTCTGAGACATAGTTTGCATGGCTGATGACCCAGGATGCATTGACCCTGGGATTTTTTTCCCAGGTCCCAAGTATTAATGAGGTGCCTTTCAGGCTACATTCCTAGAGGGTTTGAATAATTTTTATTTGTATTTCCAAGGATCATGATTTGGTGCCTGGAATGCCTCTTGTCTCAGGTGTATAATATGGTTGTCCTTTGTGAATTTTATGGGTCACCAACTCTGGAGATACATGACCTTTTACAAAAGTTCTTTTTGTTTAGGTTTTCGCCTTTGGTTTTGCCAAATAGTCATGTTCCTTGAAGCCTCCTCTCACTAGTGAATCTTCCAGTGCAAGAAAGGAAGGCAAACAACAGGGTAACTGCATCAAACAATTAGCATCTGTAACCTCTCCTTTTTACTCAGTGGATGGAAGAGTTTTTCATTAGGACATCAGTCACTGTTAGCATTGTTTTATTTTACTTTCTTACAGTCATAATGCACATGATTCTTTTGGTTCTGATACTTTTCTTTCTATCAGGTGATTGACTTTTTTCCCATTTTTTCTCTTTATTTTTCATTGTGTCTTCAGGAACAATAATATTTTGTTAATTTGCTGACACAGTTTTGTTCTGCCATTTCCAAAGCAATGGATAACCTCTTTCTTTCCAGTGTTTTGTTACTACTAAAGTACTGCTCTGATTATTTTTGTATGCAAATAATCTTTCCCTCTGACTTTGACTTGACCAGGACTCACATGGAATTTCTAACCTGGAGTCAAATAATTTCTTGCAACAAGGATTTGCCTTTTCCACTAAATTTTGTTAGTCCATAGAATAAACTTAACATGTGCCTTGAATTCCATTCTGCCTGCCTTTACTTGCCTTCATTCAGTTAGAAGCTGGGAATAAATAAGCTGTTATCATGCTTCTATGTATTTTGTTTTGTTGTTTTTTTGGGGGGGTTTGGGGGTTTAGGTAGTGGGGTTAAATGACTTGCCCAGGGTCATACAGCTAATAAGTGTTATGTGTCTGAGGCCAGATTTGAATTCAGGTCCTCCTGAATCCAGGGCCGGTGCTCTATCCGCTGAGCCACGTCGCTGACCCTATCGTGATTCTATGTAGTAAGGGCTTTCTGGCCACAATTTCTTAGCTGTACAAGTGACAGTTATAATGATGGCTACCACAGTTTTTGAGGGTGAAAAAAGTGTCCAAGTGTTCGAAACCACTGAGTTTATGGTCTCGTGAGTATACATGTTTAGAACTTTTTTTTTTTAGGTTGTTTGCAGAAGGAATTTTGGCTACCATCATACCCATAGGATTACTTAGTGGAGACCTGAGATATGATCCCTGACAAAGTGATGACATCACGAAGTCCTGCCACACCAGAGTTATGTTGCCTTAGGCATATGTGTGTCCATGTTACATTTATTTCTTCACATGTAACCTAGCCACACGTATTCCTGGAGTATACCCATTCCTCCATATTTCCTAGCTACAAGTGATTCCTGTATGTATGCTCTCCCTTGGTTAATGAGTTCTCACATAATAATTTTTGCATATGCCTTTTCCTACTTACAGCTTGTTAAACTGTAGGAAAAAAAATATGCCTTTCACATTTTAGGGTGTGGAAATAATTTTTCTTGTTATTTTACTTTCATTTTTATTGACTAAATGTCTTTTGTCTGAACCCATGTGTTCTTTGGTTGCCTGAAAAACAAACCTACCAATGGCAGCTTCTGTGCTACCTTTTTCAATGGATGCTGACCCATAGAGTACTTTAAGCCTGGCATAGGTTTTCACGACTCACAACAGGACGAGAGTCTCCCTGAGGATACATAAATGGAAAGGAATCCAAAACTGAGGTATTCATTTGTATTTCAATGGACTGTGATTTCTAGACAGTAATATTTATAAACTCAGTTTTATAATATGATGATTGTTATCGTTGAAATATAAGTCACTGTCTTAAATCTATTAAAACTATCTTTGCTTGACATAACTTTTTGTGATTTTCCTTCCCTGCCCTCAGCTGCAAGCTATGGAACAGAAGAGTTGTTATCCTGCCTTCATGCAGGAAATGTTTTCTAGTCATTCATAGTATATGGTAGACAAGGTGACAAGCAGGTGACCCTAAACAGAGTAAGCCCAAAGGATGTTTGCTGGGAGAAGCTTGACGATGTTAATTGAATTTGTCATCGCAGCGTTGAGGCCTGATGCTCAGCAGAGGGTTCATTTTACCAGAAGACAATGGCAATCCTATACCATCAAAATTGAGTTTCTCTGTGTGTGCATGTGCCCTGGTGACATTTCTCCACATTTGACCTGGAAATTCTTGGTCCTGGTATACCACTTTGTACAAATTCTCTCCTGGTCACATGTGATCTATCTACCTGTGGATGCCCTTCACTACTTGTGGTTTCTTAAACTATGCATAACCATTGGGATGCTGGGGGCAGCAATCTTCTACTCTTATTCTATTTGCTCTGCTAGAAACGTTTTATATTTGAAATAATGTGTACTCCTTTTGCCTCTTAAATGAAAATCTGTTGGTAGAGGGTCCTGAAAGATGGTTTTGAATGGGTGATGACCCTCAGAGTGCTTAACATATTTTCTTTTTTCTTTCAGCTGACAATGATTTAGTGCCTTAAATATCAGTTATTTCAAGAATATAACTGACTATTTTTCTCTTGTTATTAGTATCACAACCTCAATTTACTTCTATACCATCTTATCAAAGATGTATTTTGTTGTCTTTTTCTTTGTTTTTACACCAAAATCTACTTTGATGATAGCCCCGCTTATTAATCCTCCCTTGCTAGTGCTTCTGTGTGTGTGTATGTGTGTGTATGTATGTATACAAATATTACGTATTTCTGCAAATATGCATACACACATGGAGGGGGACAGTAAATTAAGAGTTGTGGTGGCACAGAATTGCCAGTAGGAATTAAATGGGACTTAGAAGATGGGAATTCCAAACCCAAATAAGATAGTCTTTCTTGGTCAAAAAGTTGCATTCAATATTGGAAACAGTCTATCAAAAAGAAAGATTTAATCTTTGCTTGGGGGCATTCTGCCTGACTTTTGCTTAGTGGACCTCAGTAGATGACTTGAAGTCCACAAGGTAGTTGAATAGAGAAATCCTGTGACTTAATGAGATCAGCAGTATTTCTTCAGAGGGAGCAGAGGATGTCACAGTTATGGAGCATCAGATTTGGGTTTGTCCAGGAACCCCTACACTCTGGGACCACGTTCCTCTACGTGTGACTGAGGTACATGTTTTCCTGGTATATTTTTTCCACTGTTGTTACTGGAATGTTTACCCTGCAGAAGTGTTCTGCATTTACACATGATTTATTACGGTGTGCCCTTTTACTGGTGGTACGTTAAGTATACCAAATGGAGATCAAGGGTGGCATGGGACTCTTCTGTTGTCACTTTGTTTGTTACGCCACTTGATTAAATGCCTCACGCTTGGACTAACGTGTCCTGTAGTTGGCTGGCAAAAAGCCATTATAGCAGATTCTGAATTAAAAATTTTTGGGTGCTGACCCTGAGACTTATTTGCACCTAGGATACTTCTTCTATATTCTCAGTTATGAGAGTGCAGTGTCCTAGGGGCTCCATAAGGAATTTAAAGAAGTGAATCACTGTCTAATGTATTTCTATGGATCATGATTTTCCCCTGAGATATCTGCTATTTCAGGAATATAATATGTTTTTTCTTATTGAACTACTTAGGCCATTGTCTTAAAACCCATCACAGAAGTTTGTTTCTTTCTTGCTGCCTTGTTTTCCTAATGAAGTCATCTCCCATGGAACCTAGCCATACAGGAGGGTCATTGTGAGTGGTCAAGGCTTCAGCATCTGTCTCCCACCACCTTTTTATGAGAGGAGGTAAGTGTTTTTCATTATTAGCTCTCTAGGATCCCAGCTAGTCATTTGAGGTAATTACATTACCAGAGGACACTGGCAATCCTGCAACAGAAGAGTGGGGCTCCCCAGGATACGTGTATGCCCTAGTGACACATCTTACCACATTTGATCTGAACGTGAGTATTTCTGGTATATGTTTTTTGTTTAAATTCTCTGATCATAGGTATTTCTTGTATGTCCTGCCTTTGTGTGTATACACAACTAAGCCCTTCCTACCTTTCCTTTATTTGTGGATTTGATTATGCATTGAATTTTTAATTAGCCATATGTGATCTCTACATGTGTCTTTCTCTGTGGGAGATGATACCTCATGTACCTATGGGGTCTTCTATTATCATTTTATTTGCTGTGCTGCTTGATTTGAACTAATGAGGGCTCTTCTGTTTGAACTAATGAGGGCTCTCTCTTTAGCTAGTAAAGGTAAGCCCATCAGTGGAGTCTCCTGCTTTTAGTGTGTATAGAGCTATGATGCAACATACACATATACACACATACATATATACACATGTATACATATAAATGTAAAGCAGAATTCCTTGGTAGAAAACTAAGATGTAAGAGCCATCAGAGAAGATGATGTCACCAGAAGATATACATATAGATATAGACATAGACATGTACATATATATAGATAGAGATAGAGAGATTTATATATGTATACACACATATACATTTATATGCACCTACACATATATGTTTATATGTTTATATGTTTATATATATACATGCTTCTGTGAGGTTTTTGTCTAGAAGATACATCTCTCGAGTCACAAAATATGAACAGTTTCATTGAATTTTCTTGCGTAATTCCTAATTGTTTCTGGAAGGGTTGAACTGATTCACAGCTCCACCTTCAGTGTATTACTTTACCTTTTCTCCCAATCATGTCCTGTCATATTGACTATTTCTATCTTTAATTATCCTTGCCACTTAGAAATTTCAGTTTATAATTGTCAGAGTTATTTTAATTTGTTTTTCCTCTTACTATTATTGAGTCTAGCAATTTTTACTATGGTCATTGGACAGGAAACTCTAGCATAGAGTCAGATAGCTAATCAACTTTCTTAAGTGCCTACTATGTGCCATGCACTGTGCTGAGAGCTAAAGAAAGCCACAATACAGTTTGTGTTCTCAAGGAGCTCACGGGGAGACAACATGCTCATGTACAACTATGTAGAAACGAGATAGACAGAAGGAAGGCACTAACATTATGGCAGACTGAGAAAGGCACCTTGCAAAAGGTCGTGCTTTAGCTAAGACCTGAAGGAAGCACAGACGGGTGAAGTGAGTTGAACATATTTACACAGCTAGAGAAGATCAGATGAAGGACACAAAGCCAGATATTCAAACTCTAAGTCTACATACAGCTTATTTTCATTAAAGTATAGCAGTCTCTCTCAAGGCCTATACATATGTCAAAAAACATCAAGTTTTGGCAAAAATCAGAATACACACAAAAACAGGTCACCACGCTATTGGGAGATAAATATAATGACATATACCAAAAGTAGAAATGGGGCAGTGGAGTACAGAGCTCAGTCCTTATTTCACTTATGGCTTTGACTAACTTGCATGCCATTTTGTTTCAGATTTTGGCAATGGGGTGGGCTAAGAAGTAGATAGAACATGCAAAGAATTTCTAACCCCAAGACAGATTTGTCTGTGGTAAGCTTTTGCATTCAGTACTAGAAACCAACAGCCCAAATGATGGCCTTATTATTTCCAATGGAACATTCTGGCTAGTATTGCATGCCTGCCCTCAGCTGAGAGCTAGGCAATAAAGGAGCTTTTATCATGCCTATATCCATCAAAGGCTTTCTGCTCACCATACTTTAACTCATGGGAACCACAAGGGCTAGAAGGTGACTTCAAAGAAGATACAGATGTACAGACACTCTGAGTAAGTGCATTAGCTTGAATATAGCATTAAACTAAGGTTTTGTTTTTAAAAGCTGTTTGTAAAAAACAAACAAAAAACAAACAAAAAAGAAATCAATCATCAAACGAGCAGAATTCCTTGGTAGAAAACTAAGATGTAAGAGCCATCAGAGAGATGATGTCACCAGAAGATATACATATAGATATAGACATAGACATGTACATATATATAGATAGAGATAGAGAGATTTATATATGTATACACACATATACATTTATATGCACCTACACATATATGTTTATATGTTTATACATATACACACATGTTACATATGTATATATACACATATTTACATATATAAATGATATATATAAATATATATTTATGTATCACATGTTCCTGGCATGTACCATTCTTGCATGTTATGTGGCGTAGGTGTGCTTTGTATATGCCCCTTCTATGGATGATTTATGATCGTATACCACCCCTACTTCTCTTTCCTCTTCTCTACTACTGATGTATTAAACTGTCAGACGATATTCCCCTTGGGCATTTGGAAGAACTAGGGGAACATTTTAATGTTGCTTTATTGGCTATGCTGTTTGCTTGTTAAGTGCCTTTTTTTCTTTCTCTTACCAATATGTCCTGTGGTTCTGGTTCGCTGCTGACCTAAAGAGTGATGTGAATCTGAGAGGGATTTTCTGAGCAGCCAAGTATGAGGCAAGTTACTTTCTGTATATACACATGGAAAATATTCAAGTATTGGATGCACTGACATTTGTAGTTAAATGGTTTATAACTTAAGGCCAGGAATGCTTTGTGATTGCAGATATGTAGTATGGATATTATTTTAATTATTTTAATTTTTTTTTTTTTAGTGAGGCAATTGAGGTTAAGTGACTTGCCCAGGGTCACACAGCTAATAAGTGTCAAGTGTCTGAGGCCAGATTTGAACTCAGGTCCTCCTGACTCTGAGGCCAGTGTTTTATCCACTGCAGCACCCAGCTGCCCCCTGTTGTGATGGGTACTCTTAAATGTGAC